TTTTATAAACTTGACTTTGAGGGTCAGTTTAAGTTTTCTTCTTTGCTTTTTGTTGCTCGTTTTCTGGTTAATTCTTGAACATCTTTAGAAGATTTGATTGTTTTAAAAAGGTCTTAACTTTGACCATTGACCATTTAAGAATTAAAAAAGCCTTTAAACCTGAGGGTTGTGCTGACCCATAAACAATACATTTTAAAATGATATTTAGGCATTTTTATACCTGCCTGTCACATAATTAGTTTCCTTATTTTTTAATGCTTTTGCAGAAAAGCACCAAATATAACMATTTGACAAACATTACATGGCATTTTAGCTCCAACAATACTTAAACTTAAATGTTTTGTACAAGTATTAAAGAGGGACACTATCTCAAGTGATAAGGTCCAGGTTCAAAGATCAAGTTCTACTATTCATTCAATAATAGAAAGAAAAACACAAATTAATTTTCATCACATTTTATCAAGCATGGAGAATTGAGAGAAAGAGCCAGAAATGCAGCTGTATACAGAGTTCAAACTGTGTTTCTTAAAAAAAAAAAGACAACTTAAAAAAGAAAAAAAAAAGAAGAAAATTGCACTCAGCTTTACAATACCTTCAGAAAGGAAGCCATCCAAAATTAACAAGAACAACAATCATAGTAGCAGTCAATATAATCACCACCACTGAAAGCAGATGGTTGTGTCRTCTGAATTTTATCACTCCTCACTAAGATCAGACGCAGGGCAGCAAATATTCATATGCTTAAATGGCTGGAGAATAAAACCAAAAAATAATCATCTAGACATGTTTTCCGAAGAAACAACTGCTGCAAAACAGTTATCCTTTACCTCCACTAGTCTAAACTACAAACCTTTAACCGATAAGATTAATCTAAACACCAAACAATATTCTGCAAAGTCCACTAAACTGGACACTAATTATTAAGATTATAGTAGGCAACAGCTGATTAAAACCAACATAGCTTAAGATTATCACATTATTCCTTCTGTGTTTTTATATTAAACTATAATCAATAATGACAATAGAGAAATAACTGGCCTTGAGACCACTGGTTGAGGGGTCGTTACTGAAAACTGGASAAAATACAATTCAGACTGCAGAAGAAGAAGAAGAAGTGATGTAGGAGTGATGAAAGTGCGTTTGATGTTTTCACTCTAGAAACTCTTAAGCTGCTGAGCTGGATTTTTAATATTTAAATGACTGAACGATGGAGGTCTCAGGTGGAGGTCATAGAAGAGGAGGGGGTATGTGTGTCTGTGTGTGTGTGTGTGTGTGTGTGTGTGTGTGTGTGTGTGT